CTCGGCCTCGGCCTCGGCCTCGGGGAGCGGCGATCTGGCCCTGGCCCTGGCCCTGGAAGAGGAGCTGGCCCTGCTGGGCGCCGCGGAGGCCCAGGGCAGCGGGGCCATGCAGGAGCCCCCCTCGCCCTCGCCTTCGGCCCCGGAACCGGAGCTCCTCTCCCTGATGCGGCAGAAGGAGAAGGACCTGGTGCTGGCGGCCCGCTTGGGGAAGGCGCTCCTGGAGCGCAACCAGGACATGAGCCGCCAGTACGAGAGGATGCACAAGGAGCTCACCGACAAGCTGGAGGTCAGCCGGGCCGGGACTCCGGGAGGGGGACGGGGAGGGCCCGGGAGGCCGGGGAAAGAGCGGGGAAAGGCCTCCAGGGGCTCTGGCAAAAGAGAGAATGAGAGACCATCCCGAGGAAGAGCGATTGCAGGAGCCCCTCCTTTGAAGACCTCCAACCTGGGGGCATCCTTCCAAGGCCAGGGGGATCCAGGGGCTCCGGGTCCCTTGGAAGAAGACCTTCAAGCTGACCACCCTCCCAAGCCCAGCGGGGCTCCAGAACTCCCCTCCATGGGGTCAGGCTAACGCTTTGAAGACCTCCAGCCCCGCCACCTTCCAAGCAGAAGTCCTCCCCCCCTCCATGGGCTCACAGTCCCTTTGAAGACCTCCAAGCTGACCGAGCAGAGAGGGCTTGGAGAAGTCCCTTCCATCAAGCCTTCCCAAGCCCAGGGGGGCTCCAGAACTCCCCTCCATGGCGTCAGGCTTTGCTCTCCCAGAAATGAGAAAGGTTACCTGGAGTAAGCAAGCCTGACCCCGTGGAGGGGGCTTCTGCGGCCCTCCTGGGCTTGGAAGGGTGGGCAGGTTGGGGGATGTGTCCATGAGAAGGGATGGCTCTGCAAATACCTGCAAGGAGACAACCACCAGAACGGCCTGCCTGTCAGGGTTAAACTCCCACAAAAAAAGCCCAGTTCTGGTACCCCTGAGAATAGCAGCCTTCAAGGCAGCCCAGTTATTGTATATCATCATCATCATCATCATCATTATATTTTTATATTTATTTGCATCCCACTTCTTCCGCAGAACTGGGACAGAGCGGCTCACAATGTAACAGAACAGTACAATTAAAAACCTACCAAAGTGGCAAGGCCGTCCTGATGGGGAGGAGTCCCGGAAGCCCCCCTCAAAAGCCCTCAAGCGCACCTTAGAATCCCTCTAGCCTTTCTCTCCCCAGCAGGACATTTTTTTTAAAAAAAGCCTAGGAAATGGAAAAGCTGCCCCTTCAATCCCCCTTTCTGGATCTCTTCTCCTTACTGCCACCGTGGGAATTGTGCAGCCCTCCAGATGCTCTTAGACTGTAACACCCAGCACTCCTCATCATGGGTTGCAATGGCTAAGGCTCTGGAAGCTTCAGTCTCAACAGCAGCTGGAGGAGTCATGATTCCCAGTCCTGGTTTAATGGCAGGGCTGCCCCCCCATCCCCATGGAAATGGAAACATTGCCCCAGTAAGAATTTCTCCTTTCCGTGATTTTTTCTTTCAGTCATCCAATTTCTAGCATTGCAGTCACTGAACATTTCCATTAGGCCTTTAGTTTAGCATGATGGTTTAGGCAACCAGGCAGAGTGACCCAAAGAATGTGAATGCGGCCAATACCAAAGCTCTAGGTGTGAACGCTTGTCCTGTCTCACTCCCTGCAAGGCTAAAAACTTGGGGACTGAAGGGGCAGGATTTGCACTTGAGGGGCAATGCCCTGGTTTTGCCCTCCCGTAGCTGCCCCCTTAGCTGACCCCAAGTGCAAGATGGGCATCCGTTTTTGGAGGTCTTTAAACAGAGGCTAGATGGCCATCTGTCGGGGTGTGTGTGCTTTGATTCTGTGTCTTTCTGCATGGCAGAATGGGGTTGGATTGGGTGGCCCTTGGACTCTCTTCCAACTCTATGATCCTCTGATTCTATCCCAGATAACATGAATAGGAACTGTAGGGGCTGAGAGACTGGGCTTGGGGTGTAATGATGGTCTTCCAGAGGGTTTTTTTCTGAGCTGTCACTCCCATAATTCTTCACCGTGGGCTTGGTGGGAATTGTAGACCCCAAAGAACTGGAGGGCCACACTTCTCCACCCCAGAAAAACTGAAATGTCCTGTTGGTGGGGGTGATGCTCTGAACTTATATGAAGTAGTGTTGGGAACTCTTGCTGTTCCTTGCCTTCTCCTAGGCCTGTACATGTGGATAGGACAGAGTTTACTCCTCGGAGCATACCCTGGGGAAAAGGTCTATGCAGCATTATTTTGGCCCCGAGGGGCCTCTTGTTTTCAAAACTGCAGAGATCAGGGAAAGCGTCCCACCTATGTTCAGGATTGCCACTTGGCTTCTTTGGCTGGAGTTGGCTATCTGGAAGCAGTTGGGGTGGGCTATGGACCTGTTGAGCCATCACACTTGTGGAGAAAGCCAGAAGGGAAGCTGAATTTCGAGAGTGTTCTGGAACCATCAAACCAGTTTGTGTGTGAATGTGCCTTCAAGTCGGCTGTCAACTAATGGCGGCACCATCTATTTCATAAGGTTTTCTTAGGCAAAGAGTTCAGAGAGGTGGTTTGGTCAGCTCCTTCCTCTGAAATAGAGCCTACAGCAACTGAGATTCATTGGCCATCTCCCATCCAAGGACTAACCAGAGCTAACCTTTCTTAGCTTCCAAGATCAGATGGGATCTGGTGGTACCTTGAGCTATTTAGGCCCTCCTATTCATCTGTGTCTGTGTGTGCGTATGTGCCTTTGCGACTTATGGCAACCCCATGACTTTCATAGGGTTTTCTTAGGCAAGGAATACTCAAGGTAGTTTGGCCAGTT